GTTGCAGCCGTCATTGTTGTTTGGCGGGTCCGGGCTGGGGATTCGAACCCGCCACCTTAGGTGTACGTGGCTGGCGCCTTAGCTGGTTGAGCTATAGGCACCGAGCCAGGGGTCACTGTTTTTACCTAGCGTTTCAGAAGGGTCTGGAGGGTGACAAAACCCTTAGTGAATGATGCTTACAGTGTGTACAGTGCCCCGGCCCAGGATGTGAGCTCCAGGTCTAGAAGAGATAGGCAGGTGGGAGCCACAGCAAGGCCAGAGCAGGAGCACCAACGGGTGGCCCAGAGTGGCCAGGTTTGCTTTGAGGTATGGAGCAACCCATTGCCAGGGCCCAGGAGTGAGGCCTCAGGACAGCAGCCACAGACTCAAGATGGGACAATAGGTTTGTAAGGGAGTGGCAGGAATGGAAAGGAGAGGATTCAGCTCCTCTTGGGGAAGAGGTGCATCCCTATGACCAAGTGAGGAAGTAGCTTGACAGGTGAGGGAGAGTGGGGCCTTACTGTGGGACACTGGATCTCCTAGACTTCTGGCTGAGTGTTATAAAGTGAGGACAGGCTTGGTTGGAAGGGATGTTGCTGGACGGGCTGAGATGCCTGGCTGAGTATTATAGCCCAGTAAAAACTGAGTTTGCTACACTCAGTTTCCACACCTGTGAAATGGGCTTGCTGTGCATCCATCCTGTGGCCTCTGGAACACATGGATCTGATGAAGTGCTTCTCACAGTTTCAGAGGGCTTGTCCTTGACACAAACATAGAAGGTGGGGATGGAGCCAAAGCATGAGACAGTACCTTTGAGGCTGTGAGAACAGAAAGCAGTGGGAGAGAACACACCTCCATGGGTGGGGAAGTGGTATTTTCCCCCAGAAGAGCTCTAATCAGCAAGTGCAGAGACTTCCAGAGGATGTTATCCTCCACAATCGTGGCAGGCTGGCCGTAGGGACTTGCTGTAAAGAGCAGAGTAGAAAAGTGAAGGAAGTAACCTGCCTGTGGAGATCCCGGGATACCCTCCTTCACCAGGTATGCCAAGGTTAGCATCACAGATGATGCGTGGGTATGAGATGCCCCTGATTTGATGTCTCCATAACCCCAATGGCCTGAATGGTGTCCCCCACCCCCAAAATATCCATATCCTAGTCTCCAGAACCCATGTGACTTTATTTGGTAAAAGTCTTTGCAGTTAGGATTAAATTAAGGGTCCCAAAATGAGGTTGTTCTGGATTATCCATGTAGGCCCTAAATCCAATGACAAATGTCCTTATGAGACAAAAGAGAAATCAGCATTGAAGATGGAGGGGGAAGACCAAGCAATGTGGCCATAAGCCAGGGGATGTCTGGAGCCCTCGGAAACTGGAAAAGACAAGGAGGACCATCCCCAGAGCCTCCAGAAGGACAGTGTTCCTGTCAAAATCTTGGTCTCGGACTTCCAGCCTCCAACACTGCAAGTGTAGATTCCTGTTTTGGGGGGGGGGGTTTGAACCCACCACCTACAGTATATGGGGCTGGTGCCCTACTCCTTTGAACCACAGGCACCGCCCAGATTCCTGTTGTTTTAAGCTGCCCAGTTTGTGGTCATTTCTTGCAGCGGTGACAAATTTACATCCAATCTTATCACTAGAAAACAGATACACCCAGAGCAGAGATGACTAGCAAGACACCTGGCCAGTCTTCAGACTGCCAAGGTCACAGAAGACAAGGAATGAGAAACTCAAAATCCAGAGGAGCCCATGGAGAAGCAAGAACTACATGCCACATGGGGTCCCAGATGTGATCCCAGATAGAGGACCTTATAGGAAGGAGTGGGCCAATGCAGTACAGTCTGAGATTGGCTTATAAATGCAGAGCATGGCAGGGGCCCCGTGGGAACTGTTAGAAGGGCTGCTCTCTCAGTGGTCTGGACCAGTAGTCTTTGGCGGGCCCAGGCATGGGCATGGTTGCAGGCTGGGGCTCCAAGTAGCTTGAGCTCTAGGGCAGGGTGAACTAGATGGGGAAGAGGGAGGGCCCACTACCTGGGATCACAGCATAGAGGTTGGCATTTGTGGCAGGAAAGGAGGCCAGTGACTCCACAAGGCTTCTGGGCTATTCTCTGGTCCCCGATAAGCCCACATCCTCTCTTATCTCTACAAAGCCTTGCTTGGAGGCCTGGCACACAGTAGATGCTCAGTAAATATGTGTTGGGTAATCTGATGGAATTAAATGTCTGTTCTGTCAGGGGGGCTCAAAGGAAGTATTGAGTGTCTTTAGGGTAGCATTTTGTAGTGCAGATCAGCCAGTCCCATAAAATTAGTATCTATACTATACTATATCTGCATTCTGCCGGGTGAAGTGACTCACACCTGTAATCTCAACACTCTGGAAGGCTGAGGCAGGTGGATTGCCTGAGCTCAGGAGTTGGAGATCAGCCTGAGCTACAGTGAGACTCAATCTCTAAAAATAGTTGGGTGTTCTGGTGGATACCTGTAGTCGCAGCACCTCAGGAGGCTGAGGCAAAAGAATTGCTTGAGCCCAAGAGTTTTAGATTGCTGTGAGCTATGATCCTACAGCACTCTACCAAGGGTGACAAAGTGAGACTCTGTCTCAAAAAAAAAAAAGAAAAGATATATATATACACACACACACATATATGTATGTATGTATGTATATGGGGGGTGTGTGTATCTTCATTCCATCGTTGGGCATTGAGCAAGGCAGAGAACTATCTGGAAAGTGGAAAAATCTGTCCTACGGTCTCTTCTATTTCATTGGCCAGTTTGTGTATACTTATTCCAATAAGACATTGTTTGATGATTCTTGCTTTCTGGTGTGTTTGAGACCTGCTGAGCAAATTCTTCCCAGTTTTTTCCTTTGGCAAGACTTTCAGCTGTTTTCACACATTTACTCTTCCAGAATTGGTCACCCATCCACCCATCTATCCATCCACCCTACAGATGTCCACTGGAACAGTGCTGGCTGCAGGGGGTGAATATGGCTGAAAAAAAAAAACTCTTTCATTTTGAAACTTAAATTCTAAGACACTAGCAAATTAATGTAAAGGGCCAGATAGTAAATATTTTTGGTGGGCCATATTGTCTCTGTAGCAGCTACTTAATTTTGCACAGCAAATTTTGTAGCAGCAGAAAAGCAGCTATAAATCAATAACATGTAAATGAATGAGTGTGGCTGTGTTCCAACAAAACTATTTACAAAAACCAATAGTGGGCTGGCCCCTGGCCTAGTGATTCTTTTTTTTTATTTGCAGTGGTGTCATCATAGTTCACTGTTGGCTGAACCTCCTGGACTCTAACTATCCTGCCTCAGCCTCCTGAGTAGCTGGAACTACAGGCACATACCACCATGCCTGGCTAATCTTTCTGTTTTTAGTAGAGATAGGTTCTAACTCTTGCCCAAGCTGGTCTCAAACTCCTGAGCTGAAGTGATTGATCCTCCCCACCTGGGCCTCCCAGAGGGTTAGGATTATGGATATGAGCTACCTTTTCCTAGCCCTAGTGGTTCCTTTTTTTTTTTTTGAGACAGAGCCTCAAGCTGGCACCCTGGGTGGAGTGATGTGGCATCACAGCTCACAGCAATCTCCAACTCCTGGGCTCAAGCAATTCTCCCGCCTCCGCCTCTCAAGTAGCTGAGACTACAGGTGCCTATCACAACGCCCGGCTATTTTTTTGGTTGCAGCAGTCATTGTTGTTTGGCGGGCTCAGGCTAGATTTGAACCCGCCAGCTCAGGGTTAGGCGCCTTAGCTGCTTGAGCCACAGGTGCTGAGCCCCTCCCCCCCCTTTTTTAAGACAGAGTCTTACTGTGTTGTTCTCAACCTCAAACTCTTGGGCTTACATCATTCTTTTGGCTCAGCCTCCCAAGTAGCTGCAACTACAGGTCCCTGCCACAATGCCTGGCTTTTTGTTGGAGTTGTTTAGTAGGTCCCAGGCTGGGTTTGAACCCACCAGCCTCGGTGTATGTGGCCAGTGCCCTAACCACTGAGCTAGGGGTGCTGAGCCCCTAGTGGTTCCTTTTGATCTTCAGAATCAACTGGTTAAGTCCCAAAGGAATTTATAGGAGAAATTGGTCTTTCCAAAGTTACCAACTTTGGTAATTATTGTATTTGTATTACTGCTAAGTTTTTGCTTTGCTTTTGTTTGTTTGTTTTCTTAAGAGACAGTGTCTCGGCTCGGCACCTATAGCTCAACCGGCTAAGGCACCAGCCACGTACACCTAAGGTGGCAGGTTCGAATCCCCAGCCCGGACCCGCCAAACAACAATGACGGCTGCAACCAAAAAATAGCCGGGCGTTGTGGCAGGTGCCTGTGGTCCCAGCTACTTGGGAGGCGGAGGCAGGAGACTCGCTTAAGCCCAGGAGTTGGAGGTTGCTGTGAGCTGTAATGCCATGGCACTCTACCCAGGGGGACAGCTTGAGGCTCTGTCTCACAAAAAAAAAAAAAAGAGAGACAGTGTCTCACTCTGTCACCCAGGCCCAGTGGTGTGATCATAGCTTACTACATTCTCAAACTTCTGAGCTCGAGTGATCTTCTTCCTACCTCAGCCTCCTGAGTAACCTGGGACTGTAGGTACTTGCCACCACTACTGGCTAATTCTCAAAACTTTTTTTTTTTTTGGGGATAAGAGTCTCACTTTGTCGCCCTTGGTAGAGTGCTATGGTGTCATAGCTCACAGCAACCTCCAGCTTTTGGGCTTAGGCGATTCTTTTGCCTTAGCCTCCCGAGTAGCTGGGACTATAGGCGCCTGTCACAACACCTGTCTGGTTTTTTTGTTGCAGTTTGGCTAGGGCTGGGTTTGAACCCACTATCCTCAGTATATGGGCCCGGCGCCCTACTCACTGAGCCACAGGCGCTGCCCTCAAAACATTTTCTGTAGAGATATGATCTTGCCATGTTGCCCAGGCTGGTCTTGAACTCCTGAACTCAAGTGATTCACTCACCTCAACATCTCAAACTGCTGGAATTACAGGCCTGAACCATCCAATGTGCTGGGCCTGTTTAGTTACTTTGTAGGATTGTCTTTCTGTAGTGAATATTATCTGTCCCCATGAAGCACTAACTCTGCACCCGCTCCCCAGCCCCGGCACCTGCCATTCTACTTTGTCTGTATGACTCTGGTGCCTCTGGGAACCTTCTGTGAGTGGAATCACTTAGGATATATCCTTCTGCGTCTGCTTCTCTCACTGAGCAACATGTCCTCAAGGTCAGAGCCTTTTCATGGCTGAGTGATGTTCTATTGTGTAGATGAACACATTGTGTTCATCCACTCACTTGTCCATGGACACCTGAACTGTTTCTATCTTGTGGCTGTGGGGACGTGTGCTACTGTGAACCTCTGAGTACAGGTTGTTGCATGGATAAGCATTTTTTATTCTTTTGAAAGGACAAGTGGGCTAAAGACGCATAAGGGGGAGGCCAGTGGGCTCTTGGTAGGCACAAGGTACTTGTACAGGCAAGAGATGGGTGGGTGGCTGGATCTGATTGGTTCATGAGGGTGACTAAGGGCTGGGTGCTCTCAGGGGACCTGAGACCTGGGGACCTGTCATGGCATCTGAGTTGGGTATTGGAGATGCTGACTGCAGCCCCTGACTGCCTATGTCAAGGTAGCTAAGATTCCATTCCAGGCACAGAGAGCTCACACTGGGCTATAGCGCCTCTTGTTTTCCGTTTTTGAAGCATCAAAAGATTTCCCCACTGTGCTGGGTGCAGTGGTTCACACCTATAATTCTAGCATTCTGGGAGGCCAGGGTGGGTGGATCACCAGAGTTCATGAGTTTAAGGCCAGCCTGAGCAAGATAAGCAAGAGTGAGACCCTGTCTCTAAAAAAATAGCACAGTGGCACCGAGCCACGTACACCGGGGCTGGCGGGTTCAAACCTAGCCCGGGTCTGCCAAACAACAATGACAACTACAACTACAACAACAATAACAAAATAGCTGGGTGTTGTGGCAGGCACCTGTAGTCCCAGTCTCTTGGGAGACTGAGGCAAGAGAATCGCTTAAGCCCAAGAGTTTGAGGTTGCTGTGAGCCGTGATGCCCTGGCACTCTACCTAGGGCAACAGCTTGAGACTCTGTCTAAAAAAAAAACCAGTACTTTATTTCTGAAATATCATGTGGGAGTAAAGCGCGTGGGCCTAGGGCACTGGCTGCATGGTGACAGTGCCAACCTCTCAGTAGGGCTGGCAGGCAGCTGAGTGGCGGTCATAGCACACCACAGATGGGTGGTGCAGAAGAGCAAGATGTCTCCTTAATCTGGATCCTAGAAGTCTTGAGATCAAGGTGTGACAGGGCTGGGCTCCCTCCACAGGCTCAGGGGGGAAGGTCCCTCCCAGCTCCTGTGGGCCCCAGCTGTCCCTTGGCCTGTGACTGCATCGCTGCAGGCTGTGCTTCCATCCCCACATGGCCGTCTCTTTGTAAGGATAGCAGCTGTGGGATTCATCTCAACTAATTGTACTTGCACAGGACTTTTCCCCAGTAGGTTCTATGTGAGGTTCTAGGTTGGTGTGGACACCCTTTTGGGGGATACTAGTAAACCAACCATTCTTGGTTTCTGACCTGGCCCTCAAGAGCTAAACTAGACATGATGAAGGCCTGGTAGGGCAATGAGGTGATTACAATGAGAGCCCAGCCTTCTGGGCGTGAGATCCCCGGGAGATAAGGGGAGGTATCATCCTGTAGGAGTGAGGGGCACCCCCATCAGGGCTTGCAGGCTTTGCCCCACCTGGGGTATGTGAACTGGCTCCAAAGTATCTGGGCAGGGGGTGGGTTCCCGGAACTCAGTATTTGCCATAGTGGGGACCCGGGGAGAAGCAGCCCTGGGGGAGGGATTAAAGGGACCTCACAGGCTGAGGGCAGGCACTCTGCAACAAACAGGCCAGCCATGTAGCTAGATGTCTCCCCCAACTCTGCACTGTGAGGACCATATGTGGATAGCACCAAGTATTGCCATCTTTATCCTGGTTACTGTGGAGCTTGGCTAAGGGACAGGGTCACAGCTGGCTTCTCTGGAGGGCCAGGAGCCCCCCACAGCCTGTCTGTACCCACCACAACCTCCTGCTACTAAGCGAGCTCCATGGCAGTCTCAGGCTGGGTAGCCCACAGGCCTCCTCCTCTGTGCTCCTGCTGGTCCCTGGGCCTTGATATTCTTTTCCGCAGACTCAGCCCAGCACAGATGATCCCATAGAGCAGCCCTAGGCCTTGTGCTCTTCGAAGTGTCACATTGCCTCCCTCTTACCCAACTCTGGAGCTGTAGGACCACTTGGATTTTGTCTGCTTCCCTCCATGAGAGCCAGGCCCTGAGCTTGCAGCCCTGAGGAGTGGATGTTGATTGAAAGTGAATTAGCAAGTGAGGAAGTGACTGAGTAACTGAATAAATGAATGAGCAAGTTAAATGAGTGGATGAGTGAGTAAATGAGTGACCAAATGAGTAGGTGGAAGAGTAAATGAATGAGTGAATTAGTGACTGTGAGTGGATGAATGAGTGAACAAGCGACTGAGTAGGTGAATGAGTGATTATGAGTGGATGAATGAATGAGTGGTTGGATGGGGGAGTGAATGGGCAAATGAATGAGTGGATGAAAGGTAGATGAGTGGGTGAATGTGTGAGTGAGTGGATGAGAGGATAAGTGAGCGAGGAGTGACTTGGATGGACAGATGTCAACTGGGTTGGGCAGAGGGGAACAGGCCCCATGTGATCTCAGGGATGCCTTTTCACCTGTGGCCTCTCATTGCTACTGACACATCTAAAGTGCTGCCTTGCTCTTGATGCCTGCTTTATGGGAGTATCTGCCACTAGGATGCTGGGCACAGTGTCTGCAGGGGGCTTGGCAAAGGGGTCCCTAGGAGAGCAGTCACCCTTAGACACCCACTGCAGCTGTTGGATCCCCCTGCCTTCCTGCCAGCTGTGCAGTGGTGGCTGACCAGTGTCTTCCTCTCTCCCGTGTCAGGTTTGTGCTGGCTGTGGGCAGTGCTGTTTTCGATGCGATGTTCAATGGGGGAATGGCCACCACATCCACTGAGATCGAGCTGCCTGATGTGGAGCCGGCTGCCTTCCTGGCCCTGCTGAAGTAAGGCTCTTTAGGTCCTTCTGATGTGGGGGTATGGGGCCTGAGGGAAGAAGCCAGAATCAGATTCAGGGAATGGAGACCCTGGAAATCCCAGTTCCGGAGCCCACTGCTCCATGAAGATTTCTAGAACAGGGCTATGTGGTAAGGGGTGGGCTTGGAGGTTCCACATTTTACAAATTACTTTGGATCTTTTATGTTGCAATATAACTCTCACACCATATAATTTACATGTTTAAAGTGTATATAATGTAGGGCCGACACGGTGGCTCACCCCTATAATCCCAGCACTCTGGGACGCCCAGGTGGGCTGATCACTTGAGCTCATAAGTTCAAAACAAGCCTGAGCTAGAGTAAGACCCTGTCTCTAAAAATAGCCAGGTGTTGTGGCAGGTGCTTGTAGTCCCAGCTACTTGGGAGGCTGAGATAAAAGAATCACTTGAGCCCAAGAGTTTGAGGTTGCTATTAGTTATGATGCCACAGCACTCTACCGAAGGCAACAGAATGAGACTCTTGTCTGAATGAAAAATAAAGTGTATAATGTGGTTGGGTCTGGGGGCTCAAACTTGTGATCCAGCACTTTGTGAGGCTGAGGAGGGAGAATAGATTGAGCCCAGAAATTTGGGACTAGCCTGAGCAACACAGTAAGACCTTGTCCCTACAAAAAAAATTATTTATTTATTTTTGAGATAGAGTCTCAATTTGTCACCCTCAGTGGAGTACTGTGCGTCTTAGCTGACAGCAACCTCAAACTCTCGGGCTTAAGCGATTCTCTTGCCTCAGCCTCCTGAGTAGCTAGGACTACAGGCACCCACCATAATGCCCAGTTATTTTTTAGAGACAGGGTCTTGCTCTTTGTCAGGCTGGTCTTGAACCTGTGGCTCAGGCAATCCACCAGCCTCCGCCTTCCAAGTGCTGGGATTACAGTTGTGAGCCACCACACGCAGCCCTACAAAAAATTTAAAAACTAGCTGGGTATGGTGGCTCTTGTAGTCCCAGTTACTCAGGAGGCTGGAGCTAAGATATGTACCACTGCATTCCAGCCTGGGTGACAGAGTGAGACCCTGTGTCATACACAAAAAGGAAGGAAGGAAGGAAGGAAAGGAGGAAGGGAGGGAAGGAAGGAAGGAGAGAAGGGGAAGGACAAGTGTTAGCAAAGATGTGGAAAAACTGGGAGCTTTTGCCCTGCTGGTGGGAACATAACATAGTGCAGCTACTGTGGAAAACAGCTTCATGGATCCTCAAAAGGCTACACATAGAATTACTGTGAATCCCAGTAATTCCACTCTTGGGTATAGACCCAAAGAATTGAGACCGGGGACTGGAGGAGGCATTTGCACACGCATGTTCACAGCAGCATCATTTACAACAGCCAAAAAGTGGAAGCAGCACAATTGTCCATCAACAGATGGACAAACACAACATGGTCCATCCTCACTCAGGAATATCCCTCAGCCATGAAAAGGAAGGAGTCTGTGACACAGGCTACAGGTGATGGGACTTTGAGGACAGTGTGCTCAGTGAGAGAGGTCAGACGCAAAGGACAAATCCTGTGTGATGCTACTCTAGGGAGGTCCCTAGAGTTGCCAGATTCACGGTGGCTTAAAACAACACAAATGTATCCTCTTATGAAAAGAAAATTTATCCTCTTACTGTTCTGGAAATAAGAAGTCCTGAAATCAAGGCATGGCAGGTCTGGTCCCTCCTGTGGGCTCCAAGGGAGAACCTGTCTTCCACCTTTTCCAGGGTCTAGAGGTTGCCCATGTTCCTCAGCTTGGGGGCCCCTGAATTCCCCTTCAGAGCCAGCAGTGCAGCATCTTCTATTCTCTCTCTCCCTCTGAGTTTCTTGCCTCCTTGTGTGAGGACTATGTAGTGACACTGGGCCTCTGGGTCATCCGGGATGACCTCCTTATCCCATCTGCAAAGGCCTTTCTGCCATGGGAGGTGACATAGCCACAGGCTTCAGGGATTGGTCTAGGAATGTCTTTGGAGCTATCACTCTGCCAACTCCAGGAGTCTTAGTAATCAAACTGTGACTTGTTTGTAACTTCTGGAAATGATTGGAAATGCTGTGTGTGGGCTCCTAGAGGAATAGGCCTCCCAGGCACAGAGGGAACAGAGGTGCCAGCTAACACCTTCTTGGGTTGTTTCCTAAAATAATAAGTAAATACTGGACTTCTCCAGTTGTCTCAGCCTTGTTTAACCTTCTGGAATGAGTGAGTGCAGGGAGTGGGAAGAGATGTCCAAATGACCTGGGAACTCCCATGGCTCCTCCTACTTGGACCCTGGGGGTTTTATGGTCTGTGGTACAGCTGGTTCCTCCTCTCCCAGGGCAGCAGAGGCCTTTGCTCCTTGGGCCCCAGTGTCCTTCTGCCCCTACAGTGTCTAAGAAGCAATCATACCTCATGCATGTGAAGCCTCATTTTCACCTGCTTCCTGGATCTCACCCTAAACCAGCTGTTCTCCTGGTTCCCACTTTCACTCACCCCACAGCCACCATCCCTGGAGCCTGCTCTGATATTCTGAACACAGCTCAACTTTGCTTGACCACTCCACTTCCAGGGCAGGTGGGGCAGGTTTATGTTTTTTCTGAGACAGAGGCTCTATCACCCCAGCTGGAGTGCAGAAGCATCATCATAGATCACTGGAGCCTCCAGCTCCAGGGCTCAAGTGATCCTCCTGCCTCAGCCTCCCAAAGTTCTGGAACTATAGGTGTGTGTCACCATATCCAACAGGATTTTTTTGTTTTTGTTTTTGTTTTTTGAGGCAGAGTCACACTCAGTAGAGTGCTGTGGCATCACAGCTCACAGCAACCTCAAACTCTTGGGCATAAACAATTCTCTTGCCTCAACCTTCCAAGTAGCTAGGACTATAGGTGCCCCCCACAATGCCCTGCTATTTTTTATTTCAGTTGTCATTATTGTTTGGCCCGGCTAGATTTGAACCCGTCATCCTTGGTGTATGTGGCTGTTGCCGTAAGCACTGTGCTATGGGTGTGGAGTCCCAATTTTTGTATTTTTTAATTTAGAGATGGAGTCTTGCTATATTGCTCAGGCTGGTCTTGAAATTTGGGCCTCAAGCAATCTCACTTTGACCTTCCAGAGTACTGGGATTTTTTGTTTTTGTTTATTTATTATTTTTTTACATTAACTTTGGCTGATTGGATATTTATTTAATCTTTTTCTTTCTTTCTTTCTTTTTTATTTTTTTGAGACAGAGTCTTACTTTGTGCCCTGGGTAGAGTGCTGTGGCATCATAACTCACAGTAACCGCAAACTCTTAGGTTCCATTAATTCTCTTGCCTCAGCATCCCGAGTAGTGGGACTACGGGAACCTGCCACAAAGCCTGGTATTTTTATTTTTTATTTTATTTATTTACTTATTTTAGATAGATTCTCAGTATGTTGCCCTTGGTAGAGTGCTCTGGCATCACAGCTCACAGCAACCTCAAACTCTTAGGCTTAAGTGATTCTCTTGCCTCAGCCTCCCAAGTAGCTGGGACTACAGATGCCCGCCACAATGCCCGGCTATTTTTGGTTGTAGTTGTCATTGTTGTTTGGCAAGCCTGGTCTGGGTTCAAACCTGCCAGCTCTGGTGTATGTGGCTAGAGCCCTAGCTGCTGAGCTACAGGTGCTGAGCCTATTTATTTTTTCTGACACAGAGTCTCACTTTGTCACCCTCTGTAGAGTGTCGTGGCGTCATAGGTAACAGCAACCTCAAACTCTTGGGCTCAGGCCATTCTCTCTTTTTTTTAGAGACACAGTCTCACTTTGTCACCCTCAGTAGAGTGCGATGGCATCACAGCTCACAGCAACCTCCAACTCCTGGGCTTAGGTGATTCTCTTGCCTCAACCTCCTGAGTAGCTGGGACTACAGGGGACTGCCACAACACCTGGCTATTTTTTTGTTGCAGTTTGGCAGGGGCCGGGTTCAAGGGTTCGAACTCGCCACCCTCAGTCTATGGGGCCGGCGCCCTACTCACTGAGCCACAGGCACTGCCCCTCAGGCCATTCTCTTGTCTTAACCAAACAAGTAGCTGGGACTATAGGCGCTCACCACAACATCCAGCTATTTTTAGAGACAGGGTCCCGCTTTTGCTCAGGCTGGTCTCAAACCTGTGAGCTCAAGCACTCCACCTGCGTTGGCCTCCTAGAGTGCTAGAATTACAGGTGTGAGCCACTGCACCCAGACTCCGACTGTTTTTCTTTTTTTTCTATTTTTTTTTTAAGACAGAGCCTCAGGCTGTCCCCCTGGGTAGAGTGCCATGGCATCACGCTCACAGCAACCTCCAACTCCTGGGCTCAAGTGAGTCTCCTGCCTCTGCCTCCCAAGTAGCTCGGACCACAAGGGCCCGCCACAATGCTTGGCTATTTTTTGGTTGCAGCCATCATTGTTGTTTGGTGGGCCTGGGCTGGGTTCGAACCCGCCACCTTGGGTGTATATGGCTGGCACCTCTTGAGCCACAGGTGCCGAGCCTTGACTTTTTCAAGATGGGATCTCACTCTGGCTTAGGCTGGTCTTCAACTCCCAAGTTCATGAAGTGTACCTGCCTCAGCCTCCCAGAGTGCTAGGATTACAAGCACAAGCTACCACACCTGGCCTCACTAGCTTTGTTTTTGGAAGATGTATTTCACTAGGACCACACAATCCTATTTTATTTTATTATTATTATTATTTTTTTTTTTGAGACAGAGCCTCAAGCTATCCCCCTGGGTAGAGTGCCATGGCATCACAGCTCACAGCAACCTCCAACTCCTGGGCTCAAGCGAGTCTCCTGCCTCAGCCTCCCAAGTAGCTGGGACTACAGGCGCCTGCCACAATGCATTTTTTGGTTGCAGCCATCATTGTTGTTTGGCAGGTCCGGCTGGGGATTCGAACCCGCCACCTTAGGTGTATGGTGGCTGGCGCCTCAGCAGCTTGAGCCACAGGCACAGAGCCATATTTTATTATTATTATTGTTATTTATTTTTGTTAGAGACAGAGTCTTACTTTGTTGCCCTCAGTAGAGTGCTGTGGCGTCACAACTCACAACAACCTCCAGTTCTTGGGCTTAGGTGATTCTCTTGCCTCAGCCTCCTGAGTAACTGGAACTACAGGCACCCGCTACAATGCCCGGCTATTTTTTGTTGCAATTTGACCAGGGCTGGGTTTGAACCCGCCATCCTTGGTATATGGGGCCCACGTCCTACTCGCGGAGCCACAGGCACCGCCCTTATTTTATTATTTTTTATCCATAGTGTATGAGGCCTCTAAGGTATCAATTCTATTATTGGCCTCTACTCTGGTAACAATTTATCCTTTTTAGCTGTACAGTTCTGGGGCATTTAGTGCATTCACAGACTCACACAATCATCACCACTATCTAGTTCCAGAATATTTTATCACCTCAAGAGAAACCTCATCTCTATCAATAGTTACCCCCCCCCCCTCAGCCCCTGGCAACCACAAACCTACTTCTCATCCCTATGGATTTGCCTGTTCTAGACATTTCACGTAAATGTGTATCCTTCTGGTCTGCTTCTCTCACTGAACATGATGTCTGTGTAGATGTGTTTCCAGATGTGTGTTCAGATGGAGTAGCATATAAATGGGGTCAGCTTCTTGCACATTTCCATAGGTGATAGCCTAAAGATGTCCCCAGGTCAGAGGGCAGCCAACAGGTGCTGCTTATAAAATGTTTCTTGGGGAATCTTGCATCTGGTGAGGTGGGGTGTTGGCTCCTACTGGCTTGAGAGAGGGCTGCTAAGTCTGATGGTCTGAGTGATCACTTGGCACTGTCCCTGGGCTCAGCCACCTTACCCTGTCTCATAGTCACCTATATCTGCCCCCTCAGATTTCTCTACTCAGACGAAGTTCAGATTGGCCCGGAGACAGTGATGACCACGCTGTATACCGCTAAGAAGTATGCAGTGCCCGCGCTGGAGGCCCACTGTGTGGAGTTTCTAAAGAAGAATCTCCGAGCTGACAATGCCTTCATGCTCCTTACGCAGGTGGGTAGGGGCTACCAGACTCTGCCTAAAGAGAAATGCCGGTGCTTGAGTTCTCATGGATTTTTCTGCATTAATTGGGGAAAAAAACTCACAGCAGGATATTATTTACTTTGATTTCAGGGTCTTCCAGTGCCCTTTACATCCTGGGTCAATAAGACTCAGGGCTAGGGTTGTGGGTGCCTTGTGAGAGGGGGGATAGGGAGCCTCCAGGGCTATGGGGTACAGTGGTCATTGGCTGGTCAGGTTTGTCCTCTCCTAGGGTTTTCTTTTCTTTTTTTTTTTTTTTGAGACGGAGCCTCAAGCTATCCCCCTGGGTAGAGTGCCATGGCATCACGCTCACAGCAACCTCCAACTCCTGGGCTCAAGCGAGTCTCCTGCCTCAGGCTCCCAAGTAGCTGGGACTACAGGTGCCCGCCACAGCGCCTGGCCATTTTTTAGTTGCAGCCATCGTTGTTTGGTGGGCCCGGGCTGGGGATTCGAACCCGCCACCTTAGGTGTATGTGGCTGGTGCCTTAGCCGCTTGAGCCACAGGCGCCGAGCCTCTCCTAGGGTTTTCTATCCTGACCATAGGCCATTGGTGATGAGGTTATTTTGGGAATGTCCCTTTTCTCCCTGGAGAACAGACAGGGACAGGGAGGGGCCAGGGGTCAGAGGAGGCCCCTGTCAGGCTCTGTGGAGTCCAGGAGTAGCATTTGGAATGGGAATGGGCAGGCAGCCATGGTAGGGCCTGAGCTCCTGATCTGACCCAGATGAGGCTGGTTTGGGGCAGAGGGTGGGTGGGCAGGGCCTGAAGCCGGGAGGGGACAAGTAGTGCCGGGTTCCCAAATGGGGCTTGAGGTTCACCTTCCTTGGTAGACAAAGCCAGAACCCTCTCCTTAGTGGGTGAAGATGGGCTTTGGTAGCTAGGCCAGTTGGTATAGCCCTCTTGGTGCCCCTGCTATAGGTTCTGGGGTGGAGCCATTGCCTTAGGGTATGGCCTTTCCAGTTGCAGGGGGACAAGGGCATCATGTGGTTTGGAAGCTTTACCAGGTTGCTCCGGGCCCATGCACCTCCATCCTGGGGCAGGGCCTGGACCTGGGCAGGGCCATTGGACATAGGCTTTTGCCTTCTTTGGCCTATGCTCTTCAGGAAGGACTGATGCCTTCACCCCCTGCCTTGGCCTTCTGGGTGAATCTGTTGTGGGCTGGGCACCGATATCTTTCCAACATCTCTTCCAGGCACGACTCTTCGATGAGCCACAGCTGGCTAGCCTGTGCCTAGAGAACATCGATAAGAACACCTCGGATGCCATCACTGCGGAGGGCTTCACTGACATTGACCTGGGTACGGCCAGCTGCAGCAGGGGCCATGCAGGGCCCGAGTGAGCCTCAGACGGCGAAATCTGAGCTGGCCTCAGCTGGAGAATCGGGGGGCAAAACCATGAGGGCTCTGGGCTGGGGGCCTCCGAGGGAGACTTGCCACCTACAGCCCATCATTAGCTTGGGGTGAGCACATGCCCAGGGGGTATAGCCTTGGTGGAAGGGTGCAAAGAGGGCTCTACTGTCAGCCTGGGGTCACCACGATCTCAGTCACAGAGACCATCTTGTTCTCTTAAAACCACACCAGCAAACTTCTCCAGCAGAGGGTCCAGTGGTCATTATTTTCAGCTTTGTTGGCAAATGTTGTTTGTCTAGACCAGTGTTTTTCAACCTTTTTTATCTCACAGCACGCTTGAACCTATAGTCAGACTTCTATAGCACACTTAAATTATGTTGATAAAAAAGAAAGAGAGTAAAAAAAAGAATATACTTAACTATGCTTTGAACTTCTTTCAAAAATAATTTAGTTAATGGTCTTTAAAAATTTTCATGGGGCCAGATGCAGTGGCTGATGCCTGTAATCCTACCACTTATGGGAGGCCAGGGGTGGATTGCTGGAGATCAGGAGCTGAAGACCAGCCTGAGCAAGAATGGGACCCTACCTATCTCTACTAAAAATAGAAAAACTAGCTGGGTGTTGTGGCAACCTCCTGGAGTCCAGCTCCTTGAGAGGGTGAGGCATGAGGATCACTTCAGCCATAGGAGTTTTGAGATTGCTGTGAGCTATGATGCCACAGCACTCTACGAGGGTAACATAGTAAGACTCAGCTCGGTGCCTGTGGCTCAAGTGGCTAAGGCATTAGCCACATACAGCTAAGGTGGTGGGTTCGAATCCAGCCCGGGCCCACCAAACAATGACAGCTGCAACCAAAAAATAGCCGGGTATTGTGGCGGGTACCTGTGGTCCAAGCTACTTGGGACGCAGAGGCAGGAGACTCGCTTGAGCCCAGGAGTTAGAGGTTGCTGTGAGCTGTGATGCCAGAGCCCTCTACCCAGGGGGACAGCTTGAGGCTCTGTCTCCAAAAAAAAAAAAAAAATTTTTTTTTTTCATGGCACACCAGTGTGCCATGGCACATGGGTTGAAAATCACTGGTCTAAACTATTGAGCTCTGCCCTTGTAGCTTAAAACAATCCAAAGGATAGGGAAATGCATGAGAGTTGCTATGTATTGATAAAATGTTATTTGCAAACATAGGCAGGGGACCAAGTTGCAATCCCTGACTTTAACTGCTGACCTCTGTGTCAGGCTAGCTATCTCCTGCAGAGTGGGCATCGCTGGTTACACAGTCACTTGCCCTTCCCTGCAGACACACTGGTGGCTGTTCTGGAGCGTGACACTCTGGGCATCCGGGAGGTGCGGTTGTTCAACGCTGTTGTCCGTTGGTCTGAGGCTGAATGTCAGCGGCAGCAGCTGCAGGTGACACCTGAGAATAAGCGGAAGGTTCTGGGCAAGGCCCTGGGCCTCATCCGCTTCCCACTGATGACCATCGAGGAGTTTGCTGCAGGTAACAAGTGTTCAGGGGTCCTGGGCCAGGGGGCTGGCAAGGGAGGAGTGTGATGGCCTCATGGCCTTGCTGGGTTGCTCGCCCCCACGGCCCCCGCCAAACACCTGCTTCTCAGTGCTGACAATAGCAGTCCACATGCTCATTGCAGAAAACTTGGAAAATGCATAAAAATACAAAGGTGGTAACAAACCTGATCTGTGAGCTGTGAGCCCACAGGTGCATCTGTGGCTTCCACAGTCCTGGTCTGTCCACAGGCAGGTTTGAGGCCATTGGTATTTGTGCACTGCTGGCTGCTGGCTGCTGAGTGTCTGGTTGTGTTTTGGTGTCACCGCCCAGGGCTCTCATTTTGTCAGCTCAGGCGTCACTGTCCATGATGAACCTATGTGAAGAGTCTAAAGTGGCCGGGGGCAGCCACCGTGACCCCTTAGCATCTTTTTCTGCAGGGTCTGGAGCTCCAAGGTTATGGTGTGTGGCTTGTGTGGCCACTTACATCCTGGGGTTGTATGTCCCTGGAGTGAGATAGTCATGGAAGGTTCCAGAGGGGCTCAGAGATGCAGCCCTGTGGCTGGTGCACACTCGCTGTCCCATCATTCCCAGGTCCACATGGCTCCTGCTCTTTCCTAACTTTGGGTCAGCAGATGTAGCAATAATAACAAATAATTTTTTAGCATAAGTATCTCCCATGCACTACTTAGGGCATACTTAATCTGAATATCATTCCTTGTTACTCTGAATTGAGATTTATTCAATATTCTACATTTTATCTGGGAATCATCTCTGGGTTTGTGGGTATGGGAGATGCCCTCAGAGGAGGTCTTTGACAAATCATATGTTGCCCCATTGCCTGCCTTGCATGTAATGGCCTGAGGGAGTCTAGCCCACCCTTCAGGGAAATGGCCAACACCTGCTTGTCCCGTTGGGGGACATAGCTCCATCCTCAGCTCTCATCATGTCATCTTTTGGCCAGGGTGGGGGTGGCCCTAGGTTGTGTAAGACATGTCGAGGAACAGTCAGCAGGCATTGGGATGGGAGTGCCTTGTCCCCAGGGGCCCATCCTTAATGCTATCACCTACCTGTTCCTACCTCTGTGTCCTCCTTAGTACCAAGAGGTCCTGGCTGTGCCTCTCATGGGACCCTCCAACTTGGGTGCTCTTGCTGAGCAGGAAAAGCCTGAAGAGGCAGCTGCCCATCTGCAAAGGCGGTAGTGGTGGTGGTGGAGATCTGTGCTATCTCCGCCTGTGTGCAGGGCTCTCTGTCTCTTTGAGCCCTGGGGCCATGTCTTGCTCATCTGGAAATAACAGAGATGCCTGACTTTGTGTCATCTGCATTTTACAGAGGAGTATCAAGACCCAGAGAGAGTCACCCACCACAGGCTGTGCTCAGCACTGGGGACACATGGTCACTTCTTTGTAGTGGGGTGAACAGTGGAATAGTTAAGGTGTAGGCATGGGTGGATCCAGAAGTGGCTTCCCTGCCTGGAATGGAACTGTGGCCCAATTGTCCATCTGCCCACTCCCCAGCTTGGTTTTAGGATTAAGCCTTCTCCCTGGCTGGGGCAGGGCCGTTGAGTCAGAGAAGGTGCTGGGTGAGTGGAGTAAAATATCCCTCCTCTCTGTGAATCCAGCCATGCCCCCATGCAAAGCAGGGTGCTAACAGCACAGACAGCCAAAGATTTGGCTTCCTCTGGGGTCGTTTGGTATATTTGTTGGGAGAACTATCTTTGCTCAGAGAGCAGGCTAAAAGCCCAAGAAACATCCCTGCTGCATGTGTGGTCATAATGATGTCCCAGTATGTTTTTTTGTCTGCAGATATTTCTTTTTAAAAAATGCAGTTGTTATCATTCTTCCTTTAATTTTTTTATTCAGTCTTCCTTATTCACTTAATCTGTTTCACCTGGGTTTTTTTTTTCTAATTTAAATTTTATTATTTTTTGAAACAGAATCACTCTGGTGCCCAGGCTTGAATGCTGTGGCATCAGCCTAGCTCACAGCAACCTCAGACTCCTGGGCTCAAGCGATCCTCCTGCCTCAGCTTCCTAAGTAGCTGGGAGTATGGGTACCCACTACAACACCCGGCTAGTTTTTCTATTTTTAGTAGAGACGAGGTCTCATTCTTGCTCAAGCCGGTCTCAAACTCCTAGGCTCAAGTGATTCTCCTGCCTCAACCTCTTGAGGAGTGTGAGCCACCTGATTTCTCACTTGTCATTCAAATCTCTGTTTAAATAGCTGTATCACAGGGCTGAGCTAAGAGTTAATCCCTGAATGATCTGGGAAGGTGGGCAGTGCCTAGTGCCCAATGAGGCCTTGGTCCCAGTGAGTAAAGATGGGCTTCTCTAATATCCTTGCTCTTTCTGGAGGTGGGACTGTGGAGGCAGGAGTGGGAGGCTCTAAGTCCACTCTTTGCCTTGCCCCTCCTGGCCTCCATCCTCTACCCAGAGTCTGGCCCATCCAGTCACCATCACATGTCTGCTTCTGCATGTGACTGGGATTGTTACCTCCCTGTTGGTCTAAGCATTTTGAAAATTGGCTGATTTAGGTCCACCCTGGAGCCAGGGGGCAGCTGTGCCAGCCAGAGGCAGCTGCAAGTGACCCTCTCCAAGGCCAGTGTCCCAGTGTGGCAGGCAGGGTGGCACCTCCTCCACTGTGAAGTGAGGAGTGCTCCCTGCATTAGTGGGGCTGATGCCTATCCCATGTGGGATGGGATCCTGAGATCTCATACAGTCATTGAGAGAGTCTACGTCAACTCCTGGTCTCTGTGGGACCATTCCCCAGGCTTCAGAAGGGGTGGTGGGTGAGAGTCGGCAGTGGTGTTGGTCCCCTGCATCCTGGAAATCCCATGTGGACACCTGTTCATGGCATCTCTCCCCACATGCCTCTCTGCCTGTAGGCCCCGCGCAGTCAGGCATCCTGGTTGACCGCGAGGTGGTCAGCCTCTTTCTGCACTTCACTGTCAACCCCAAGCCCCGCGTGGAGTTCATTGACCGGCCGCGCTGCTGCCTGCGTGGGAAGGAGTGCAGCATCAACCGCTTCCAGCAGGTGGAGAGCCGCTGGGGCTACAGCGGCACCAGTGACCGTATCAGGTGGGGGACAGGGCGCAGGAGGCCAAAGCAGGGACCAGCTGTGGGGGAGGAGTGGTGGCAGGGGAGCAGGTGGGAGAAGGGAGAGGCCATGGGGGAGGAAAATAGGTGGGGGGGGTCTTCCTGCTGGCCCAGGGCTGTGCCCACCTCGGGGGTAACTCAGGCCACAACACAGAGGCCCCTTCTGGTCACTCTTCAGTCCCTGGGTGTTTACTGGGCCAGCTTCTCTTGCCCGCTGCTGCAGGTTCTCGGTCAACAAGCGCATCTTCGTGGTGGGCTTTGGGCTCTACGGATCTATCCATGGACCCACCGACTACCAAGTGAACATTCAGGTCTGCCACCAGGTCCTTCCCCTGTTCCCCAGCTCTACTCCATGCCCATTTTCCCTAGGCCTTGCCCTGTCCCTCCTAGGCCCCTGGGCAAGTGCATCAGGGCTTGGAGGCCAGGTGCTGAGTGTCCCTGTTCCTCCCAGATCATCCACACGGATAGCAACACCGTCCTGGGCCAGAATGACACAGGCTTCAGCTGTGATGGCTCAGCTAGCACCTTCCGTGTCATGTTCAAGGAGCCAGTGGAGGTGCTGCCCAATGTCAACTACACAGCCTGTGCCACACTCAAGGTGCTGCCATGGGCGGGGGTGGCCACTTCGGACATGGGGCTGAGGTCTGAGGTCTCTAGACTAAGCCTTCTGGGCCCAATAGAGTCTGGGGACCTGGGGGTGGGGTGTTCTGATGTCACTGTGGCCCACCCCCTACAGGGCCCAGACTCCCATTATGGCACCAAAGGCCTACGCAAGGTGACCCATGAGTCACCCACAACGGGGGCCAAGACCTGCTTCACCTTCTGCTATGCTGCTGGGAACAACAATGGCACGTCCGTGGAAGACGGTCAGATCCCCGAGGTCATCTTCTACACCTAGGCTTCCCACCACACTGCCATCCAGTCGGGGGACTGCCAGGTCCCCAAGGTCATCCTCCACATGTAGGCTGCCCCATGCTGTGCCCCCAGCCTGGCTGTCCTTGGCCATCTGTCCACTCCCTGTCACCTTTCTGAGCGTCATGAAAGGGGCTGCCCTTTGTCCAAGGTGACGAATGAGGCTGCTTATTTCGCAGAAGCAGGGGAGGTGGCCAGGCTGGGGCCCTTTGAGACAATCCCTCAGGACCCAGGGCTGGGCTGTACTCGCCCTGCCCAAGCAGGCCTGAGCCAGGGTTAGCAGCCCCTGCAGCTCAGGGCTCATGGAGGGTGTTTCATGTTTATTCTATTAACTGCACATGGCAATGCACTTGGGATCCCATTTCTCTGCTAGGCGACGCTGTGTGGGGCTCCTCAAGCCGTGGGTGTGGGTCTTGTGCTCCTTTTGTCCTTGATTCATCAGGCACAAGGAGCCCCACCTGCTGTGTGCCCCAAGGCCAACTCACCCCGGGATTTTGGCCTGAGGGTGGAGCTGGAGCCCTGTACTGTCCTGGCATTGGTGTCCCGTTAGGTCCAGCCCCAGCCCAGAGGGCCAATGGTTTGCGCTTTCCCTTCTCATCCACCTGCGGGACCCAACCAAGGGCCAGTGCTATCTAGCCTCTCTGGACAGGCTCTTCCTAGTCCCTGCAGCTGAGGGCAGGGCCTCAGGTCCTGTGTACTTGGGGTTGGGCCCCAGCAGGTCCCCAGCAGGTCCCCAGCAGGCCTGCCCCTCTGTACATACTGTAGCCCAGCCTGCCCTGCCCGACCACCGAGTCAGCACTCGCCCTGAGGTGCTGGAGGGACAGCCCCTCCCCACCCCATGTGTTTCTGCCCCAGTGACCCGTTCTGGAACCTGCGTCCTCCCCAAAGCCATGGAACGTGTGTGTGTCCTCACACCACGGCCCAAATGATTTTTTTTAATAAAGGAAAGAAACACACCTTCCCTGAGCTGTTGCATGCTTATTCCCACCTGGGGCATTGAGGGACAGATCTAGATCTGCCAAGGGGATGCTCCCCACCCTGAGAGGGGCAGTCAGGCCATGCATCTGGTTCTGCTATCACTGGAGGTCACATGGGACCCTCTGGAACCCTGCTTCCACCCTTTTGAGCCCCTGTAGCCTACACAAGGCTTGGGGTGGGCTAGAGACTCTTCCCCCACACCTTTGCCATCTTCCCTGTGGCAGCTGGCCTCCCCAAGCCTGACAGGTGGAGCAGCATGCCTGGCTGCCCTGGGCCCCCTGTGGACCCTCCCAGCACTTTACAGAACATCAGCTGCCTCCTTGTTTCCAGGAACCCACTGAAATTTAACAGGATAGAGTTAAGGACCCTAAAATAGTGAAATCATCCTGGATTACCTGGTGGGCCCAGTGTCAGCACAGGGTCATCGTAAGAGAAGGCAGGAGGGTCAGAGGCAGAGAGACTGGAAGATGCTGTGCTGCTGGCTCTGAAGATGGAGGCTGTCCCAAGCCAGGGATGTGGGTTCTCCTCTGGCACCCCCTAGGAGGGACCAGCCCTGCCATAACCATGATGTTAACTCAGTGAGGCCTTGTCCACACTCTGACCCCCACCCAGAACTGTCAGAAAAATCTGTGCTGACATACCAAGCCCATGGTCACCTATTTCAGCTAGAGGAGCCTCACACAGAGGACAAGCAGGTCAGGGGGAAGGTCCATAGGGTCCGGTTGTGCTAGAGGTGCTGTTTTTGGAAGAAACTCATTGTAACTGCAGTCCAGTTCCGATGTCCTCATTACCTTCTAGCCACATTGTCTCTGTGCCCAAATCTCATGTGACTGCTTCACCCGCCTAGGCTTCAGAGAATCGGGCCCAAGGGAGTTAGGGTGTGACGGTGGAGGCCAGTTGTCCGCCCTGTCTAGACAGGGCCTCCTGTGGGGTAAGATAGACCACACAGTCTGCCCAAGGGAAAATACATCAGCTAGAACCAAGCAGGATAACCTCTGACAAGTGGTATGACTCAGGGATAGTCTCCAGTGTGGCTTCTATGGAGATCAGGCCAGGGGCCAATGTGGGAGCAAACAGTGGGGACAGCAGGCCGGGGGCCAGTGTGGTCAGGATGATGCTGGAGGAGCAAGGGACCAAGGGTCAGGGATGGGGGTTTATCACACAGATGCAATGGAAGCCTGTCCTGACTCATTTTGCAAGGTCCCACTGGCTTCTAGGGGACTGAGAAGCAACAGGGGGTGCCCACTTCTGGCCATAGCTGCACAGCTTATATGAGATAAACCAGTCTTTGTGAACCAGCTGAATGAACCACTGGACCAAGCAAGAGACGGTGCTGCTCATGAAGGCATGGGAGATGGTGGTATGGGCAGAGCTGGGTGGACAGTGTTTCCTCATTGTTGACGTAGAAAAAAGAGCTGACTTGAAAAGACAGAGTGCAGAGTTTGTGGCTGGGGACACAAAGACAAAATCCTGGGGCAAAGGAAACTGCAGAGAAAGAAGTCTAGAGACTGTCCACAACTGCTCTCAAGCCAATGACCTAAGTGTACTTGCACAGGGTAAGAGTTCAAGAAACGGGGGCGGCGCCTGTGGCTCAGTGAGTAGGGCGCCAGCCCCGTATACTGAGGGTGGCGGGTTCAAACCCAGCCCCAGCCAAACTGCAACAACTACAAAAAAGAATTCATGAGGCTCGGCGCCTGTAGCTCAAGCAGCTAAGGCACCAGCCACACACACCTGAGCTGGTGGGTTCAAATCCAGCCCGGGCCCATCAAAACAATGACGGCTACAACCAAAAAATAGCCAGCGTTGTGGTGGGCATCTGTAGTCCTAGCTACTTGGGCAGTGGAGGCAGGAGACTCGCTTGAGCCCAGGAGTTGGAGGTTGCTGTGAGCTGTGATGCCATAGCACTCGACCCAGGGGGACAGCTTGAGGCTCTGTTTCAAAAAAAAAAAAAAGAGTTCAAGAAACACAGCAGCAAACAGCCACTCAGAGGGCAAAGGGCAGAGCAGAGTTTCAGAAGTTGTGCAGAGCCCAGAGAGGCGATGGAGATGGAGCCTAGGCAGGGAGGGCCTTGCTAAACACCCAGGGCTGCTAATAAGACACTAGAAGGGCCTTGTACCAAGAGTAAGAGGGCAAAGACAAAACTCAAAAAGACAAGCATTAGAAAGCCTTGATAGGATCATAGTGAGCTGCTGTTGCTCTAGCTCAGTGTTTTTCAACCTTTTTTTTATCACATAGCACACTTGAGCCTGTAGTTAAACTTCCGTGGCACACTTAAATTATGTTGATAAAAAAAACAGTAAAGGACCAGACCAGTGGTTCACACCTATAATCCTAGCACTCTGAGAGGCTGAGGTGGGTGGATTGCTTAAGCTCAGGAGTTCAAGACCAGCCTGAGCAAGAGCAAAACCCTATCTCTACTAAAAATAGAAAAAATAGCTGGGTGTTGTGCTGGTCACCAGTAGTCCCAGCTACTCGGGGGGCTGAGGCAAGAGGATTGCTTGAGCCCAAGAGTTTGAGGTTGTTGTGAGCCAGGGGTCCTCAAACTTTTTAAACAGGGGGCTAGTTCACTGTCCCTCAGACCATTGGAGGGCCGGACTGCAGGCCCCGGGACAAGTCAGCTGCTAAGCAGGACAAGCAGCGGTGGCAAAAACACCCAGATAAATGTCCTAGGCAGGCTGCATGTGGCTTGCAGGCTTTAGTTTGAGCACGCCTGCTGTGAGCTATGATGCCCCTGCACTCTACCCAGGATGATAGAGGGAGAGACTGTCTCAAAACAAACAAACAAACAAAATCCATAAAGCTAGGCACTTGTAGCTCAGTAGCTAGGGCACCGGCCAGGTGCATGGAGGCTAGAGGGTTTGAACCCAACACAGGCCTGCCAAACAACAATGACAGCTACAACAAAAAAATAGCCAGGCATTGTGGCGGGCGCCTCTGGTCCCAGCTACTTGGAAGGCTGAAACAAGAGAATCACTTAAGCCCAAGAATTTGAGGTTGCTGTGAGCTGTGA